ATGCGCAACTGGCAGCCCCCGCGTCGCTGGGCCAACATGAACTATAATGACTGGGAGGTTCTGGGGAACTGGGAGGACCCCATCGCCGCCGCCCGCGATCTGAGTGGCTGGGAGGGGCCGAGCACCTCCAGGATCCTGAGTGGCTGGGAGGGGCCGAGCACTTCTTGGGCCCTGAGCGCCTGGGAGGGGCCGGGCACCTCGAGGGCCCTGGGTGCGTGGGAAAACCCGGGGAACCCCCACTCTCTGATGCTTTCTGAGCTCTCTGGCGTGCCCCTGGGGGTGGGGACCAGCCAGGATGAGCCCAAGGGGGAGGCGGGGCCCGTGTCCCCCCTAGATGAGAGGGCCAACGCCTTGGTGCAGTTCCTCCTGGTCAAGGACGGAGGCAACGTGCCCATCAGGCGGTCCGAGATGGTGAAGTTCATCATCCGGGAGTACAAGGACCAGTCCTTGGAGATCATCAAGCGCGCCAACCACAAGCTCGAGTGTGTCTTTGGGTATCAGCTGAAGGAGATAGACCCCCAGACCCACTCTTACATTATCATCAACAAGTTCGGGGGCGGGCCCGTGGCCTCGCCTCCCCCCTGCCTGGAGATCCCCAAGCTGGGCCTCCTCATGGCGGTCCTGAGCCTTATCTTTATCAAAGGCAATTGCATCCGGGAAGACCTGCTCTATAGCTTCCTGGAGAAGCTGGGGCTGGATGTCCGGGCGGAGCATGGTGTCCTGGGGAACGTCAAGAAGCTCATCACCGAGGAGTTTGTCAGGCAGAAATACCTCGAGTACAGGGAGATCCCCAACACCCAGCCCACCGAGTATGAGTTCCTCTGGGGCCCCCGGGCGTTCATGGAGATCAGCAAGATGCTGGTGCTCAAATTCCTGGCCAAACTCCATAACAAGGATCCCGAGTGTTGGCCCTTCCACTATTTCGAGGCCCTGGCCGAGTGCGAGTCCGATGATGAGTGGGATTACGAGGAGCTGGGGCCCTACTACGGTCGCGCCGGGGGTCGCTTCCGCAGGTCCCGTCCCCGCTAAGCCAGAAACTTAGCCACTCTCTCTCTCTGTTCCTTCGTGTCCCCCGGGCCAAGAGCCACTCACAGGGTCGTCGTGCGTGTGCGTGCGCGTGTGTGTATCGTGCAGGGGGTGGGGTGGGGAGGGGGTCGTGTCGTTTCGTTTCCTGGTGTTTCTGTTCCAATCCTACCTATGTGTACACTTGGATCTCAGACCTGGTTCCTGTAATCTGCCAAAGCTTTGTATACATCCTCACGTGCTGTTGACTTTCAAGTGGCTACTGTTCTCCTGGGTACCTCTTGGCACTTGTGTACTTAAGTGAGTTGTGTGTGATTCTCTCTCTCTCTCGTTTTTCCGTGTTCGACTCGTTCTTGTGGCTGTACCCGGAGTTGTGCTGGCTTTGTGAAATGAATTGAGACGCAGCCATCCATCTCACCCTGGTGCAAAAAAAACTCTGTAGTGTTGAAAGTAGGCTGTTCTTTGACGTGTAAAACATGACTCATCAGTCACGCTGTCTGCAGAGAAATAAATATCTATATCTATATCTATATAAATATACTTTCAGCATAACACAGAGGAGTTTGTCTTCATTCTCATTTTTTAATCGCCAGGGCGGGAGCCAAGTTTTGTGTGTGTGTGTGTGTGTGTGTGTGTGTGTGTGTGTTTTCCCCCACCCTCTGAATACACCAGAACATCAACACTATGACGAGAGACATGGGGCTACATTCTTCCTAACAACACAAGGGTTTTAATGGGGGGGGGGGGGGATGGTGGAACATAAGATTGACATCAAACCAAGAGTCCAGACTTCACAAAACCCCTCACAGTGGGCGTTATTATTTCCCATTGTAGGCGAGTGTTTAAATGCAGGTAGATCCATTCAATGGCACAGGCCGGGGCCAGGTCAATAAGGTGGGCATTCAAAGCCCATTTTCTTGAGGTTATGTGGGGAAGGGGGACCCTCCACCTTACCTTAGGGTGTCCAGTAGCTCGGGGGGGGACTTGGGTTGTATCAACACACGGATATTGGGGTGGAAACGTACATAATATCCAGGCTTCTAATAGGAAAGAGGAAACAACAGCCTTCAACCAATGAGGGGGCCTATATATTGGGGGTGATGGTGGGGGGGAAGGGGATCCTGAGGTTGGGGGGCTCAACCCTAACATGCAGGGGACATCAGCTGCCAATATCGGAGCCCTGGGGTGCAGGGACTGGTGAGGGAGGGGTCACAAGGGACCAGTGCACCACCCTGGGTGTTTAGGGGGAAAGATATTCACGCCTGCACTGGGCTGGTGTATAGAAGACTTTCTTGAGGTCATTCTCTCTTCAAGAGGACGGGGATCATCAGCGTTGCCGCCACCCCTACTGTCCTATAAGGATCAAAGCCCCCCAACCCTAATCCACCTACCCCCCATCTCTAGGTAAAGATGAAGTCCCAGGTAGGCGGTCATGGTGATAGTGGAATTCGCCTGCCACCTAGCGGCCGACCCTGGTTCTGTCGCTCTGGCAGCTGCCTGGTGTACAGCGTCGCCCCCCCACACCACCACCACCACCAGACACCTGGGTTGTGGCTACTACTTGCCTCATCACCTTTGCCCAAAGTTTTCCCGCCCAAACATTCCTTATTTCCTCTTCTGTCATAGCACAAGGTAAAACCTCTTCTCCACACTTTCTAGGACCATGGGCCTGGCTACAGGGGGGGGGGGTCTTTGGCAAGTTGTCCACGTGACCAAGGGTCCCTGAAATGTGGAGGCAGGTGGTTTTTTTGTTTTGTTTGGTGTTTTTTTGCAAACATGCTGGGTCAGGGAGTAGTACAGCGTTTCTGCCCCCAAAGCAATAGTCAGTTATTTGAGGACCAGCAAGTGCCATGGAAGGCAGCTGAGAATGATCCCCCAAAGAGGGTTTGCTGGCTCCAGTCTTTCTTGTTTGTTTCTGCTTCATGCATTATTGTTTCTCTAGTTTCCTCTAAATCATTCACTCATGGGTGGGTGGCTGGAGCAAGATGCTCTTTGGGCGTCACCGGTTCGACTCCCGGTCAGGGCACTTGCCCGGGTTGTGGGCTCGATCCCCAATGGGAGGCAGCTGATGGTTGTTTTGATCTCACATCAATGTTTCTCTCTCTCTAAAAATAATTTTTTTAAAAAGGATGTTCTTTGTGTATCAACATTGGAAAGTAGCATCAGATGGCACTTGTGATTTATAATCCATCTAAAGCAACAATCATATAGAAAATGGAATGAAGACCCACTTTTCACGGAAATCCCCCGAAATATGTAGTGTCTGGTGGAATGCCGTGGCTGAGCCCCAGACTACGGAACTCACGGCCTTCCCATCTCTACATTTGAGAACTTTTTTGTATTCGATTGCAAGGAGAGACAAATTACAATAATAATGAATTTTTAAGTACAAATAAGTTAGCCGGATATTCCACTGAAAAGTTTAAGAAAAGAGGGATGATATTATAAAAGCAGGGGCAGAAAACAATAGGGTGACAGATAGGATGAGAAGCGGTAAGAATAATTTCAAGACCCATTTATTCGAAAGCACTAAAGTGTGGGTAAATGTAACGCAAGGCTTTTTATTGTAAAATGGAGAAAAGAATAGAGTCCCTGTCATCAAATGGGGAAAAGTATCAAATGACAAAAAAAAAGAAATATAAACAGGAAATAACTCTGAAAACTGTTGCATCTCACTAATATCCCAAGACAGAAACATCAGGCCAGTATTCCTGTCTTCATGTCTTAAATTGGCATCGAATAAAATAAAGGCCCGTGGAACACCTAATATACATAAAGTCATGCAACTGGCATCCTTAGAAGCTACGGACCAAAGTGCAAAGTACTACAACCTTCCCTGAGATAAAGTCAGCCCACTGCGTCTTCAAGACATTTAACGATATGAATGCTCTTCTACTTAGAAACTCATATGGGACTAGAGCGAATGGAAATAACCTTCCATGGGAGCAAAGATTTCTTGACAAAAACATGCTTATCAGAGTGGAAGATATTAAGTAGAATATGTACCCCCCCCCCCATAGAGCCAGACATACTAACATCAAGTTGGGCCAATGAGTTTTCTGCTGAAAAGACAAAAGATTTCCCCAGAAGACAACTTGCCGTCGGCTCCAACACTAAATGACATTCTGGGGGAGCAGAAACATGACCATCTGTGCCTGAAAAATATTTTTTAAATGTATTTTGATTGATTTCAGAGAGGAAGGGAGAGAGAGAGAGAAACATGAACGATGAGAGAGAATCATGGATCGGCTGCCTCCTGCATGCCCCACACTGGGGACCAAGCCCACAACCCGGGCATGTGCCCTGACAAGGAATTGAACCATGACCTCCTGGTTCATAGGTTGACGCTTAACCACTGAGCCACACCAGCCGGGCCTGAAAAATTTTTAAGTGGGGGCCAGTAGACTCCCATCAAAGCCGTAACATTATCTCAACAAAAGCCATTTCCCATGACGCTGTCTGACTCCTGGGGAAAGAGAAATTTAAAAATGTTTCTCAAAGTGACCAAATCCAGGATGTTCAGTTACAAGCGAGTGGCTATCTTAGGATATTTCTCTAAAAGGGATGATCCGATTTGGGGGGATAATTTCTACTCTAAGCGATGCTTCCGGAGAGCAATCAAGATGTGGGCTAGTGCCCGGCGGCCGTGGCTCAGTAGTTGAGCGTCGACCTACGAACCGGGAGGTCCCTGGTTCGATTCCCGGTCAAGGCACATGCCCCAGTGTGGGGCCTGCAAGAGGCAGCTGATCAGCGATTCTCTCTCATCATCGACGTTTCTCTCTCTCCCTCTCTGAAATCAATAAAAATATATTAAAAAATTTTAAAAAAAAGATGCAGGCCAGTTACTTGTCAAAGTCGTATATAAAGCAACAACATTGTCAGCAAACGGGAATTGATGGTTGAAGCTGTGATGGACGGAGGATTCTTCAGGGTCCCTGTGGCCTCCGCGGGGCACGCAATCCACTTGTTATTCATTTATCTTCACACCCACAACTGTAGCACATGGCTCACCCACGGCTCTAAGACTTGAAAGGCTAAGGCGCCCTCTGCTGGGAAGTTCTAGCAACTCTTTGAGTTCCCATATAAAAGCTTGTCACAGTTAGAGAGATCACCACCCCCCCTTTCTTAATTTTTTCTCGTGTCCCCAACCCATCTCTCTCCCCTGAAATCAATAAAAATATATTAAAAAATTTTAAAAAAAAGATGCAGGCCAGTTACTTGTCAAAGTCGTATATAAAGCAACAACATTGTCAGCAAACGGGAATTGATGGTTGAAGCTGTGATGGACGGAGGATTCTTCAGGGTCCCTGTGGCCTCCGCGGGGCACGCAATCCACTTGTTATTCATTTATCTTCACACCCACAACTGTAGCACATGGCTCACCCACGGCTCTAAGACTTGAAAGGCTAAGGCGCCCTCTGCTGGGAAGTTCTAGCAACTCTTTGAGTTCCCATATAAAAGCTTGTCACAGTTAGAGAGATCACCACCCCCCCTTTCTTAATTTTTTCTCGTGTCCCCAACCCACCAAGGGGTAGGGGCACAGAAAAGAAATGGTTGGCACAACAGGCATGGCCTCTCTGGGAAGAATCTCCATGAGAAGGAAGACTCGAGCAGATGTACCTGGAGAGCCCAGGTTTGGGGTTCCCTTTCTTTCTGCCAAATCTTCCGGAAAGTTCTCAGGGTGAGTCCCAGGAAGGGACAGTAGAACACTACTAGCTATAATAATAGCTGGTGAGATGTCTGTCCATCCTCTTGGCCCCTTTTCTAAATGATACATTTTTATTTCATAATGTGGGTTTTCGGGATGTCTTTCACCTAGATTTCCGTCTTCGTGAGACAGGTAAAGCTTGCAGGGGGCTTTCCCTCGTCGTAACGGGGCCTTTCGCGCAGCAGAAGTTTCCCATTTTGATGACGTTTAATTCGTGGATTTATTTTCTTTGTATGAATCACGCTCTTGATTTCATATCTAAATATCTTCCATCGGATCTTTAATTCCTAAAGATTTTCTCCTAGTTTTATTCTAAACGTTTAGGGGTTTTTTGGTTTTTGTTTGTTCGCTTGTTTTTAGTGCTTTTGTACTTTATTTTTAAATCTGTAATCCATTTTGAGCTTATTCTGTATACAAGCGTAGAAGATTTATTTCTCCCTGTGCTTTTGCACCTTTGTCAAAGATCCGCTGGCTGCACTTTATGGGCTATTTCTGAGCTCTCTAGTGTCTCCTTGAGGTATGTATCTATCCACCGACACTACCATCTTCACTACTGTAGCTACACAGTAAGCCTTGAAATTAAGCACAGTGATTCTCTATTCTTTCTTTCCAAATGATGTCTGCTATTCTAGATCCTTTGACATGCCACATCAATATTTAAAAATATTTCTTTAATGATTCCAGAGAGGAAGGGAGAGGGAGAGAGAGATAGACACTTCAAGGATGAGAATCATTGATTAGCTGCCTCTTGCACACCCCATCCTGGGGATCCAGCCCGCAACCCGGGAACCTAACAGTGACCTCCTAGTTCATGGGTGGATGCTCAACCACTGAGCCATACCAGCCAG